TATCCCAACAAATGATAGTACGTAGCTCAAAGATTGTTAACTTCTTTCAACCTTTTTAAAATTTTTTTTGTTTAATGAGATTTAAATTCTAAATTTTTGCTTACATCCCACCTCGTTTAATTTCTTTTGTATCAACAACTACGTTGGATTTGAATTTATAAACTCACAGTTAAAAAAAGAGAGAGAGAGAGAAAAGGATCAGAGGAAAAAAAACCAAGAATGGAGAGGGTTGACAGAGGTGAGAGCAAGAGAAAATAAAAAACATATAGCCATATGTAATTAGAGAAACTGACGTAATAAACATAAAAAATTCGATGCAAGTCTTATCATTCTATTTGAAAAAGTATATATGTATTTTTACACCTAATGCTCATTTAAGATGTTTGATACTCTTTTTTTTTAAAAGATAAAAGATATTTTTGCATTTTTATTCTTAAAATATAAATTACTCATCCGGTTCTTAATATAAGACCTATTTAACTAATCTGATTAGATTAAAGAAGTTAAATAAGTTAGTTAATTATAAAAAATATAACATGTTTTTCTTAAAATACCATATTCATCTTTCTTAATATTCTCCCTCCCTCTTTTACCTAATTATAGTTGAGGAAGTATCCATAACGGTTATTTTAAAAAAATTGATAAATATAAAAAATAAATCTTATATTTAATACTAAAATCAATTTAATAATTAGATCTTATATTAAAAATTAAAAAGTACGGGAGGAAATATTTTTGACGTTATTTGATGATAAACACTTCTCCCCCTTTTCATAAAATTATAAAAATAAATACTACTTGTAACAATTTGAGTTATATTAATTTTTTTTTAGCCCACAATAAATGCGATCTGAAGGGCTATTTTTGCCCAATCTAACATCTCATTGGGACTTGGTATTGTTTGGCAATTTTTAAAAATATTTCTAAGAAATATTTTTAATAAAACGAGACAAATTCCTTCACATACTTACTTCATAAACTGTAAAAATATTTTAAAATTATAATTTAATTTTTATCTAAATACTCCTGGAATTAGCTGAATATAAAATAATGAGTTGAAGATGAAGACGAGTGAGGAAACAGAAGAGAGGAGGGAGTAGGGTCCGCACTGAGAGGGAGGAGCGTCCCTGACACGCTCACCATTCTCGAAGCCAATCTTCCCTCTCTCTCTTGCGTTTTTAATTTCTTCACCAAACCAAACCACTCTCTTCTAGTCTTCTCTTGCTTTCTTTCTCCGTCCTCGTTTCGTTTCTTTCGAGGAATCCATCCGTCCTGTTCCTCCCAAATCCCACGCAATGACTGTATTTTCCTCCCACCCAATGGCATAGCCATAACCATGCTTCCAAGTTTTGCTTTTGGTTGACCATATCATAGCCTCCTTTTTCTTTTCTTCTTTTGGGTTTGATGGCGGCTCTCCTCCTCACCCTCTTGCGCAAAACCTGAAGTCATATCGTTTACAACTTCTGAATTTCATTCTTGATATAAGAAGTACTTAGAGATTTAATTTGATCTTTTAATTAAGACCTATATTTATTAGTATTTGGAATCCTAATCAACATTAATCATGATTCTAATATTTCATTTTTAGTTTATCAGAAGAAAAAATCATTATACAGTTGTTTATGTTTTCCCTCAATTTATGATTTAGTACAAATACTTTTTTTTTTTTCACGTGATAGCATTTAATTTTATTTTGACAGGACCTATGTCTATTGGTGTTTGGGATCTTAATCAACATTAATCATAATTCTAGTAACTGATTCTCAGTTAAAAAACTAGATTAATCTATAGCCAAGTCAGTTACAATTAAGATCAACAGGAAAAATCATTATACAGTTGTTTTCCCCCCTCAATTTATAATTTAGCACAAATATTTTCTTACATGTTACTATTTCAGGTCTCTAATATAGAACCTAACTAAAGAGTTAATGTTAGTCCTGGTTAACTCTATTAATATTACCTCAACAATAATGAAATAAGAGAAGGAGGAAGGGAATTAAAAAAATACTTAGAGTCTTTTACAAAAAATACATCATATTAATTAATTCAATTAATATACTTAATATATTCAAATTAGTTAAATACCGGATAAGTGGCATTTAATTTTATTTTGTTAACACCGTTTATTAGCCTTTATAAATTTGTTTTATTCCATTGGCTCTTAAACTAACAGGGCAAACATATCAAGATGAAAAAAAAAAATTCATCAGGAGATAAAAATATATATAAATAGTAAATTTAAAACTGAGAAAAAATATAAATACGTGCAAAATGATTTTTTTTCAATAGAAAAATTATATTTTCTCCGCCTCTTTTATAATAGCGACCTAACTTCTTTTTTGTTTGTTTGGTGATGCCTAGCTTTTGTTCTTGCTAGAAAGTTTAAAGAACTTGTGTATCATGAGTTTCTTTTCTTTTTATTTTTGTTCCTTTTTAAGCGCAAAGGGCATCATTGTAAAGGACACAGCTACATGTTCAGAAAGATGAACCAAATAATTCCAACGAGTAAAGCAAATCCATGGAGGAAGAACTCTTTAACTGTAAATCTTAATCTTTAAGGGAAAAAAAAAAGCTTTTCCCAAACACTAGATCATAATGTTTACTTGCTTTCTCTAATTTTTAATATAAAAACTATTTAATTAATTTGAATAAATTAAAAAATTAAAGAAATTATTTAATTTTAATTAATATGACATAATCTCCCTTTAATGTCCTTATATTATATTAGATTAAAAATGAGTTTATGAGATAGATTTTTTTTACCATAATTTATAAGATAGATTAGTTGTCCATGCAAAAAATGATAAATATGAGAAAAATTGGTGCCTATAGTTTAACAAATGTAATATGATCTTCCCAAAATAATAAATATGAGTTTATTATTAACAAATTTCACCAATCATAATATAGATTTCAATTCACACCCTCATCACACACTTCTATGTGAAAAGAATCGCATCCTCATCAATCAATCCAAAACTACTCCTATTAAAATAATTCCAAGATGCTGGGAAAAAAAAAAAGAGAGAAAGTAATTCCAAAATTATGAAGTCTTGTTTTGTTTTATTTTTTTGGTGAAATTACGAAGTCTTGTTTTAAATGCAATATAAAATAACCTCGCATGGGTTTTGTTTATCCTGTTCGACCGACACACAAATATGTTTGAAGCATCGAGTGGAAGAGATTTCGGTCCGTGTCTTTCTCAGATCAGCTCACCTACAAGTCTTCCTTTACAATTTGATTGGATCATTCATCAAATTAAATACTACCTCCTGTTATTAATATAAAATCTTATTTAATTTTTATTTTAATTCTAAATATAAGATCCTAATTTATTTTGTCTTTTATATTTATATATTTTTTAAGGTAATACACTTGGTTAATAAAGATATTGTAGGAAAGACAATATTTATTTATTACAAATAACTCATTTAACTTATTTTCTTAATCTCTTCAAATTAGCCAACTAACTTTTATAATTAGGACCGGAGGTAGTATAATCACTAATTAATTTCGCTAATGCAAATTTTTAATGATTAAGGGGCACAATTTAACGATACCTATTACGTCTTACTTTGGGTGACAATAGACACATTAATTACGTTAATTAACAAGTTTTAATTTGGATAATCACTTTCCTCATCTATGTACAAATTTGGATCCAAGGCAAAATTGGGAAATCCATTGATTCAAGCAAACGTAATTAAAAGAGCATCCAGTGCAAATTCCAAATCTTTCATTTGCAGTGAAGTAACAATGTGTTGACAATTTATATCACCTCCCCACCACAAAGTCAGCAAGTCAAGAAAAATAAAACTACTATGATATAATTCCTCCTTCCCCCACACAAAAAATGAGAAATAAGATAAGCAACATTTTTTCACTTGTATCTTTTGTGCACATATTTTTAATTTTTTCAAGATATTCCTTCGAATTTTTTCTGTATTTTGTTTTTTTTTGGCATTGATTCATTGTATTTTGAGTAAAATACTGAATTTTGACTTTTATAAAAAAAATTGTAATTTGAGTCAAGGAATGGCATCTAAAATTTATACTTAGTATTATATATAATACATGTATAGAAATTTGATCAACTGAAAAACCATTCCCCATAATATATGATCGGTATATGTAAATAATTGCATAATATTGTTTTTTATCTGTGATTTTTTTTTAATTCTAAATGCTGCTTAAAGTAAAATGATATTTTTAAATGATTGAATTTAATAATATAAAATATATTGTTTAAAATTTTAATGTACACAAGCTCACAAATTATGAAAGAGAAATGGTTGTTATATAGATTTTATTTGAAAAATAGTTAATTCACAATTCTTCCATTTTTTATGCCCATCATATCAATTTATCGTTGGCAAAAAAAAATATATCAAATCATTCAATTACACGTATTTATAGTTTAATTAAAAATAGGACATGTGGTAGCTTATAATTTTGGATTTCAATATTATGAAATACTACGTCAGATCCTTAATATAAGAGCTCATTTAATTTTTATTTTGGTTTTAAATATAAGACCTCAATCGATTTTATTTCTCATATTTATTTATTTTTTTAAGGCAGTCCTTGTAATAATAATGATTTTAGCCAATATACTTGATTGTAAGGATGTTTTAGGAAATGTAACGTTTATTTATTATAAATAAATGATATAACTAATTTTTTTTAATCTACTTAAATTAGTTAATTAACTCTTATATTAAAATCGGAGGTAGTACAATAATATCGTGGAGCCATTGGGTCTAATTGACACAAACCACATCTTAAAAAATAGTTGCATCACCTGAGAAACAAATTTCATATGCTTTTGGGTAATAAATATTTTAATGAGGGATTTTCAGCAATTTTTTAAAAATAAATGACCCTATTATAACGATTTTTAAAATATAAATAGAATTTCTCAGGGCGCATAGTAAATTAGTAACATAAACAAATGAGCAAAGTGCATAAATTGAATTCAAACCCGTCGGCTTTTATTTCGTCTTCCGTTTCAAACCTCTGAGAGAATCTTATGCCAACCAGAGAGGCCTCTTCCTGCAACTGCAGCTGCAGCTTCTTCTGCCCTTCTTAAAAGGAAACTCTTTAGAATATTAAACTCAACAAAATAACTCTCTTCTCCTCTTTCTTCCACCACCCACAAAAATCACTCTATCTTACGAAGAAGCATTAGCTGAGTTCTTTGACAATTTGAAATCCATTTTTCTTGGACGACCCTGTATTTATTTTCTTCAAATTTACCCAGAAACGGTAAGAAGATCTTTCTTGAGTGTCTCTGAAACATAAACATACCCTTTTTGAGTTGACTTCATCATCATTCATGTCATTTTTGAACTGTTCAAATCCTTGTTTTCGCCGTGTTTGGAATATTGAGACTTCGTAAATGATGCTTTATTTGAAGGAATAATCAAAGCAGAAACTTCGAGAAGCGTTGGTGAAGCGATGCTGATGAAGGAAAGGGACGAGGAGCTCGCTCTGTTCCTTGAGATGCGGAGGAGGGAGAAAGAGAATGAGAAAAACAATCTTCTCCTTCTTCAGAACTCCGATGAGCTCGATGGATCTAATCTGGGTACGTTTCTGTTTTATTGTAGCTCTAGCAATTTCTTTTTACGACTAATGAGCGGCTCTGGTATAGTTCTATTAAACGGTGCCGTATTTTTTATGTCCTGCAGAATCTAATGGGGTCAGTTCTCCCATTTCTAAGATGGTAACTTCGGCGGTGCCGCGGAAAGCGGGTGCTGATGAGTTTCTAGATTCAGAGAATGAGAAGTCTGATTATGATTGGTAAGGGATGTGTATAATTTGGTCATCCAGCTATGTAAACTTTTTGCAGATCATCTGGGTTGAAAAGATAATGCTCACTGAGAGTAAGATGCGTTGATTCGTTGGTTTGATTGACGCGTTGAGTCTAGAGAATTTGTTCTTGTTTATAACAGCTGGAATTACGAGCGAGCCAACTTGCTAATCTATTGGGAAACTGTCCTTTTAGAATTATGGAAGTTCATTATTGTTGTTATGAGGGTTTCCAGTAATTATCTGCTTGCTGTCCACTGTTAACCTCTATATGCTGTCATGATTCATGTCAATTATCATTTGCTTATTTTAGATTTCTAATATTTCTTTTATGGGAAGTAGGAAAGGCAATAGATCCTTGAATATCTATTTGCTTCTCAAATAATGCATGCGTCTGCTAATCTTACTCTTTTTGCATCAATAGAGACTAATAATTTCTACTATAAGAAATAGAAGAGACTAATAATTTCCTTTGCTGAGGTTAAAGTTAATTCTTATACCAATTATTTTCTCCAACGGTAGAAATCAATTTCTGGTTTTCCTTCCCATATATTTTCGTTTGAAAGTGACCGTCATTTGAAAATAAAATCTTTGAACTCGTAATCTAGACACCGTCTGCTGATTTCAATGGAAAAGGAATGAATTCTCTTGCTTGCTGCACAGAAACTGCTGTCCCCTCATACCGAGTAGATGGATTACATGCTAGTAAATTACCTAATATTGCGTAGTAAAATTGTTCTGCCTAAATTGCGTCTCTCGCATCGACTTAAAGTTCTTCTTGGAATCAGGCTTCTGACGCCCCCTGATACCCCGCTTTTCCCTGCATTGGACAAGGAGTCACAGATATCAGTGAAGAGTGAAAGGGAAAACTCTACTGCTCGTTCAACAGCTTTAAAACCTCGGGTAAGAATCTTCTTATGATTTTTGGATTCTATTGGTTCATGCTTCTAAGAGATTATAATGAAACAGTGTAAAAAGAGAGAGATTGTAATAAAAATGTTCATAGACTTCACTTAAAAAAGTTTTAATCATTGACTTATTATCAGAGGCCATGTGACCTTGTGATTCATACTTAGTTTACACTTTAAGCCGAAAGAGTTTCCATGTGGGGTTGTCCTAGAACTTGCGATAAAAATACATATTGGCCTAATATTTACAACATACCACTTCGCCTTTATAATTTTCCTGATAACTTCCTTGTATTGGGTATTCCCATACCTGTTCTTTATTCTCAGCCAGTGTCAACAGCATTTGTTGCTTGTGCTCATTTATCTCGCTCAATGGTATCATATTTGGAACTTTGTGCTGCATCTTGTGTTACAGCCAGCTAATGTTCAATTGGAACCTGCTTCAAAAAACAATTTAAGCTCCAAGCATCATGCAGCAGCAATGCCTGGCTTTACTTCTTCCACTACTGCTAATAATAGGAAAACATCGTCAGCTGGGGGTACAACCTCAGCCACTTCCAGATCTGTGACACCATCCGGAAGGCCAACATTACCTTCAACAACCAGAAATTCTAGGCCTTCTACGCCTACATCCCGCGCCACAGTGACTACTGCTAAGCCTGTAGCTCCACCTCCGAGATCATCCACTCCTACTGGCACTAGGGCCACTGTTCCACCTGTGAGATCATCCACTCCTACTGGCACTAGGGCCACTGTTCCACCTGTGAGATCATCCACTCCTACTGGCACTAGGGCCACTGCTCCACCTGTGAGATCATCCACTCCTACTGGCACTAGGGCCACTGCTCCACCTGTGAGATCATCCACTCCTACTGGCACTAGGGCCACTGCTCGTGCCTCAACACCGACTTCCAGACCTTCTTTAACAGCTCCTAAAACTACTCGAAGATCATCAACTCCAACTCTTCGATCTTCAACACCATCAAATGCAAATGGAGTGTCTGCACCTGCCTCTCGATCTTCATCAGCATCAAAAGCACGCCCAGCACAAGCAAAAAATCCAGTGCAATCACGTGGAAGTTCTCCATCTGCAAAATCTAGGCCTTGGGAACCATCACAAATGCCTGGGTTCTCACTCGACGCTCCTCCAAATTTGAAGACATCATTGCCAGAAAGACCAACTTCAGTCTCTAGGACTAGGCCTGGGCCACCTAATTCTAGAACATCTTCCCTTGAGGCCGCAGGTAGTATTGATGGAAAATCGAAAAGACAGTCAGTCACACCTTCCAGAGGAAGGGCTTCAACAGGTGTTGCTCAAAGTAATCATAGTTCGACTCAAGCTCTGAATAGATCTCGTTTTATTGATGGTGATAATGATAGCCCAGTCGTAGTCGGGAGTAAAATGGTTGAAAGAGTTGTAAACATGAGAAAATTGGGACCACCAAAGCATGAAGATCGTCATTCTGCTCATAGTAGTTCCGGCAAGTCTTCATTGTCTGAAAGCTCAGGATTCGGAAGAACACTTTCTAAGAAGTCCTTAGATATGGCAATGAGGCATATGGTATGTTTCTATATTCCATTATTTATACGTTATCTGAGCTGAACTACAAGAATGTTGGAGTTTAAACTGTTTAGCATAACATGGCCAAAAAATATAATGCAAATAATCAATAGGTTTACACAGCTAGGAAGTAAATACCGATTGCTTGATTTTATTTCTGTTCTTTATATGGTAATGATTCGTAGAAATAATATCATGTCTATATTTTCATATATTTAGATGCAGTTCGAGGTTTCTGCTATCATTTTTTTTTTTATTAGACTTGTGACGTTTTATGGATTCCTTCTGAAAAAAACAAGTCGTTGATATGCTTCACTCTAAGCGCAGTCCACAAGCTGCATTTTTAATTAAAAATTATGACACAGCGAAGGTTTATGTTTGTAATCATTTGGCCTATACTTTATCCAATATCCAAGTCTCTTCAGTGAATATGCTGTTTTCCGGTTGTTTTTCTAAGAAGTTTGTTCAATGAAGCAAACAAAGATCACTGAAAGCTGTTCCTATTTCATATCAGGCAACTTTACAAGTTTTCTTCGGTTATCTTGTACAGGACATTAGGCGAAGCATTAAGGGGAGCCTGAAGCCACTTGTGACAAACATTCCGGCTTCCTCTATGTACAGTGTGAGATCAACTGGTTCATCAAATAGCAGGACAATGAATGTTTCTGATTCTCCTCTTGCCACTAGCAGCACTGCCAGTTCTGAACCAAGTGTAAACTTCAATTCCATCTCTTATGATGGAAGTGAGATTGAAGAAAATGATCTGGCAAGTGATAGGGGAAACTCTTCGCCTGTTAGTCATCACAGCAGGTGATCCATAGATGGAACCACAAGTCCAGTTGTATATGGTAGTAAAGCTAGCAGATAGAGAGAGATTCAAATGCCAATGAAGCACTGATACTTCAAAGATGGGTTCGTGTTATTTCTGACTCACTCATCAGAGATGATATGAAACTCTTGCAGCTTGACACAATATCTTTAGTTGTCACTGTCTTCTTGTAGTTTATTTTGTACTGGAATCTGTGCGTCTCAAACTGCGTATACTGTCTCTATTGTTCTAATGCTCTATGCATATACTATCACATATGCATGCTTATGGCCTTAGGACTATTAGTACTGAAAATTGGCTGCTATTAATTGAAGAGCTCCTTCAATGTTATTCAAACTGCTTCTGCTGAATGATTCCATTTTATATGCGAATTTGCATCCAAAACATATTTTAATAGGTACTCTTTTGTTTCAGAGATGATTTCACCATTACTTAGTTCTCATTTTTATTTTGGAAAGCATTTTATTCTGGTTCTAGTTCTAATGCAAAAACAGCACAATGCAATTATCACCCAAAAAAAAAAAAGAGGAAAGAAAAGAAAAACACAATGCAATTGTCTTGTTTTCTTAACATTAAAATTTCTAACGCAGATCCATGGAGTTTGGTAGTTAGTCTTCAATATCAAAGAACCTGTTAAATGTTATTGGTCGAACAAAGATGACTGAAACAAGTCAGTCTAAATAAATGCGATAGATTATAAAAGATGTGGTTGACATGATTACATGTTTTATATTTTTTTTATTTTGGTATTTATTCTAATTCTATATTTACTTAATATATTTATCTATGATTGACCTTGTATATTATATGATATTTGTAAGAATTTCTCAACTTTCAGTTCTATGGCATATCCGCATATTAATTTTTCTCTTTAGCCAAATAAGGATTCTCAATTAAGGAGCGGCTGAACTTTACAAACGATTATTATAATTTGCTTTATATATTAAACAAAAATCTATATCGTGCATTTAATAAATTAATAGGAAGTGACTTATTTATAAATATTAATATCAATTAAATTTTCTTCAAGCCTTGTGTCATTGTACTTTCTCTTTTAATTATTTTTTTAACAATTCTCATTTGCCTTAATTCTGAACAAATTACACTTTTTCTTTCTTCTTTAAATTTTTAACAATTTTTTTCTTTTCAATTCTTTTTCAAGTAGTCACATTCTTTAAATAATTATCTAAGATTATATGTATAATGTATTGTAAACATATATATTTTCTTGGATTTTTTATGAGAATTTTTTATAAGATGATAAATTTTAAATTCACAATCGAACTTTAATAACTCTAAAATACCACACTATCTGGAGAGAATTAAGCGTTAAAAAAAAAGGTGATTTGATGCTTGGGAAATAAAAATTTGCTACCTTAGTTTTTGGGTTGATACAATTTTTGGAACCCAAGTTTGTCCTCATTTTAATTTTAGTTTATTAAGTTTTAAACTATAGGTTTTGGCCCATCAATTTTTTTTAATTTAAAATATTAATCCATATAATTTAATAAAAACTTGGATTATTTTGCTCATTCAAGAACCAAAATTTATAATTTAAAATTTGAGGGATACAAATTTAAGAAACTAAAGATTATATTAACTTTTAGTTTTTTGGTGGACAGATCCTCTGGGGATCTATAAATACATGCCTGTCTCTCTTATACGTGGAGTGTGCAAAATGATATCTTACATTTTAGTTTCAAATGTGCATTCATATATAAATTTCAAGTTGCTTTAGCCAGAAAGATTTGTAGTTTAATTTATATATGAGCTATGGGCATTACTTTACAGATAAACTGGGCTGTAAATTTACTGCAGCAAATAGTATCAAAGAAAAACGATAACATATTTAGCTGCCCATGTAATGGAATGTGAATTACATATATTATTAAGCCATTTTTTTATTCTTTTCAAATATGGTGGGCATTATTTGGCCTTTTTAAATTCAAGTGGTCATATTCATGCATGAGATAACATAATCAGGCTTCGGAATTTGACTGCTTCTGTTTTAATTAACTAACTTATTACATGAAGTTCATGAATACAGCAGCCCCTCTCCCTGCCTGACGTAACCATGAAGCCTAACGTCACCTGGACATGTGAGAAAATGTTGTCTCTTACACACAAAAATATCTTACCATTACTTTTTTTTTTTTACCTTCTAGTTTAATTAATAGATTAGTTACCATTAAGATCGGATTTGACTAATCAAGTTTTGAATTGTTATTGGAAAAGGTATTCGTATTTAGTATTCGAGAACATGTCGAATAGGATTGCTAACAAAATATTACTTTCGGTCTTTAATATAAGACTTTTTTTTATTTTTATTTTTATTCTAAATATAAGATTCCAGTCTATTTTGTCTCTTATATTTACATATTTTTTTTCTAAAGTAGTCTTTCTAACAATGGTAATTCTAGCCAATACACTTAATTAGTAAGAATATTTTAGGAAAGCCACTACATATTTATTATAAATAACTAACTTAACTTCTTTCCTTAATCTCATCAAATTAGTCAACTAGCTCTTATAATTAAAACCGAAAGTAGTATCTATATATACACACACTTGGAAGAAAAAAAGTTGACATTGTCGTGTTAAATTTGTCCCGTAATAAGCGGGATCATGAACGCTATTTTTCCCACATATGTTTATAATTGAATCTTCATCCCTATTCCCCACTACTTAAAAGAGGATTGAGTGATGAATGTCCTAAAACAAGGGATGATATGTGTAATGAGAGAATTATGTTTTTCCTTTCTCTTCCATCTTGCTGCATTGAATAGGATATTAGTGATTTTATTTAATTATATTATACCATCTCCATATTTAATATAAAAACTAGTTGATTAATTTGAGTAGATTAAAAAAATTAGTTAAATTTGTTATTTATAATAAATAGGTATTATCTTTTTTAAAATACCATTGCTAATCAAATATATTGATTAAAATTACTATTATTATAGAAACTATCTTAAAAAACATATAAATATAAAAAACAAAGATTATATTTTTATATTTAAAATTAAAATAAAAATTAATCGAGTTCGTATATTAAGCACTAAAGATAATATATTATCATTGCATTGTTTTTTGGGTAAAGCCGACAAAAGAAAGATTATCCAGAGTCAACGCAATCTCTCTCTGAATGATTTTGTCTTGGTGTGGTTTCCATGTAAGAAAATGTCTGCTCTTCTCATCGGGATGGGATGTAAACAAGTGATGTTTTTTCCCTTTCTGTCCTACACTCACAACGGCGAGCAAAGAGAAAAGAGAACTTCAGTAGTTCAGTCGCTTTCACAGTTTGCCTTTCCTTACCGAGTCCTCTTTTGCCTGATGACCTCTTCTTTTTGAGACATTACTAACTTCCTTGACCGGTTGACTTGCCAGCTTCGTTTTCCATTTTTGTGGCCCATATATATGTGGACTCAGGCGGTTCTTCCAATCATCTGGTTCTTCTATCTCAGTTAAATTATCAAGGGTTTCGTAACTTTCTTCTGTTTGATGGGAAAAACCATACCTTTCGTGATTTCCCTGTGTTTTATACCCCCAGCTTTCGAAGATTTACCGTAGAGTTTGAGGTTTTACGATCATTCATCAATGTTGGGAAGATCATGCTCTTTTCACTTTGAATTGGACTCTTCTCTTCTTTTCCCATCATCGTGGTGGTTGAATGTGTTAAATTTGATGAACAAAAGTTGTTAGAGGATTTAGTGGCTGTACAGGGATTACAATTTGGATGTATATAGCTATGGTTGGCAATTGCTTCGGTGCCTTGAATTGTTGTAAAGGGAAGAATGAAGCTGCTGGCCAGTCAGATGAACAAGGTACGGACAATCGTGAAGGTTTTGATCTGTCTGATGATAAATTGTCTGAATCAACAAGTGATCCTGTGATTTTGATGATTTTACTTCCTCTTTCTTGCATGATGATACAATACATCTCTTATCTGTGTTTCTGATGCAAATAAATTTTGCTACTGTCAAAGATTATCTATCCAGTAGCAGCGAAATGTATTCGATCACTTGGTCTGTAAAATTGTGAATTCCTTTAGTTGAATATGATTCTATAATCTCTTTCTATCACATCTCACTACCCGGATGGGACAATGACTAGAATTCCTGCGTTTAATTGACGGATTTTTGGTACAGATGGAAACTCAGATGTTATTGGAGCTAACTTAAACTATATAATTAACTTCGTTTACTTGAATGATGCTACAGACACGTAGGAAAACTTATTCGGTGTAAACGAGTTGTTCGATTTTTTTCCTGCCTTTTGGAAATTAAAAGAATCCAGATCTTCTATATTCACAAACTGACGCATATAATGCAGTTGGAGAAAAATAAAAAGGAAAAAGGAAATGGGTGTAAAGATAGAAAGTAGATTATACACAGTCTCACTTTTTTTGTTACTTTCTTCGCAAATGCATGATTGCAGAGGATTAGAGTTTAGATTATGCCGTGACATTAAATAATGTGTTTGCTACTATTGTACCCAAAAAAAAAAACCCAACTATGCTAGAGGACATTAAGGTAACTTCGTTTAATACATTGCTACTAACTCTCTTGAATAACTTAATTCAGTAATTGGTGGGAGGTAATCAAATTCAATATCCTATTCAAAATGTAACATTAACACTGATATGCTAGTAAAGATGCGTAGCTCACCCTCTAGGCCATTTGGGTTTACTCCTTCTTTGCTATCATTATATTTATATTGTCTCTCATTCAATCAGTCCGCGAATTAGAGTGGGAGCTATGCAGGCATCTCTGTGCCCGTTGATACTTGACTTCGTCTAATGTCTACTGATACATTTGTTAGTTGGATTGTGTTCTACCCACAAATACATTTATGCCTTTCTTCATTGATGTTCCCTATTTCAAAAATTCAGCCTTCTGCAACTTTTTATGTGTGTTTTTTGGGCTTTGTTGATGACAGTGATTGCAACTAAAACTTTTAGTTACAATTCAATGAGATCAGCCACAGGAGATTTTCATCCATCTACCAGAATTGGTGGAGGAGGTTATGGAGTTGTCTACAAGGTAGGATAGATTACTATCGGGAGATTTTCTTGTTCTTGTATTAACGCCTATGTTGGCTTTCAAACGTGGTGTACAGTGTATCACTATATTCTCTTGTTAGTTTGAGTAATTTTTTTTTTTTTTTTTTTTGGGTTTCCTTCTCATTGATATTTTCAGGGTGTATTAAGAGATGGTACTCAAGTTGCTATCAAGTCTCTGTCTGTAGAGTCTAAACAAGGAACAAAGGAATTTATGACAGAAACTGAAATTATATCAAAGATACAGCATCCAAACCTTGTGCAACTTATTGGCTGCTGTGTTGAGGGCCACCATCGGTTGTTGGTGTATGAGTTTTTGGAAAACAATAGCCTTGCAAGTTCTTTGCTTCGTAAGTACCAGAACAATCCAATTAAGTATATGGAAGTGAGTCTTGTCTGAACTGGATAGATATTCAACCTTTTGATTTTGGAAACAAGTTTGTTTTACATGTTATTGAAATTTTTAGTACTTCCAAAAGTGGAACTTACCTGTTTGAATCAGATTCACTTTTCCATTTTCCTTTGTATTGGTTACTTCTGGCTTTCGGAGCACAGAATATAGTCAAAATGTGATGTAATCTGTCATTCTTTCAAGCTTAACATTAAAACTCTCTCTGAGTTGGAGGGATGAAGGCTATTGATTAAAAGCTCGATGTAGGCTTTTCCATGAATTGGGATGCTCTAATAAACATCAAACCTTTTATAGGTTCCAAGAGCAGATGTGTTGCTCTGGATTGGCCAAAGAGGGCTGCTATCTGCTGTGGTACAGCTTATGGTCTTGAATTTCTTCATGAAGAGGCTCAACCAAGCATTGTTCACAGAGATATCAAGGCTAGCAACATACTGCTTGATGGGAACTTTAATCCTAAAATAGGGGATTTTGGCCTCGCAAAGCTTTTTCCTGACGATGTCACTCATGTTAGTACTCGAGTGGCAGGAACGGTGTAAGTAACAATGCACAATTTACATTATGAATATCGTTCTATATGACTGTTGCCTAAGTTGCACCTTTTGAATTTCTTAAGAAAGCCTGTTTCTTCTCTTCTTACTTGTTTAAATCTTCTGTAAAGCCATTCGAATATGCATCTAATGATATATAATTATCTATTGTTAATTGAAAAAAAAAAATACAAGGGGCTCAAAATTTGGTGTTTCTTGTGAATTTTCTCTGGACAATACGAAGACCTATACTGCCTTAAAATCTATTCCTCTCACTCATGTGGCATGAGGTGGCCATTGGATTGGTGTTCTTGGCATGCACTTATATTTGCTATTTCGATTGTTACTATCTTTTTGATGAGTCATTTAGTTTTTCATCGCATATTATTACCACGTAAATTATTACGTGTTAATATTTGTTGAAATGCAATGTTTGAGTAAGCGAAGGATAGAAGGATAATGGAGAAACAAAAGAAGTTTCTGATTTCAAGTAACTATTTATAGCCTCCTTGAGGCTAAATTAGCACCTGTGAAGTTGAAAGACCAAAGATTACAAACTGCCTTCAGCCTTGCCCTAGTACTACAAATTCGTCAATATTGTTACAGAATGGGTTCTTGGCAGTTAACTAGATTTGGTCTCAACATATGAACCATGTTTACCCTTTTTTCTCCGTTATTTGCAGGGGATATCTAGCGCCAGAATATGCACTTCTAGGACAACTTACAAAGAAGGCTGATGTGTACAGTTTCGGGATTCTCATGCTTGAAATAATCAGTGGTAAAAGTAGCAGTAAAGCCGCATTTGGAGATAATCTCTTGGTTCTAGTGGAATGGGTATCTTTCTAAACTCAAGTATCAATTAGCTAACACATGCTAGGATTTTGTCATAGCTTTTCTAATGATCAGAGACACAGACATAATAAGAGAAATAAAGTCACAGTCTATATGAAGTTTTGCTAGGTTTTCCAAGGTTGTCAAGATGAAGATCTTTGCTAGGATCGATCATGGATTTAAAAGATCAAAGCAATGAAATGAAAATGAAATATAATTAAATGAGTATAAATTATACATGTACTCGAGTCAGCTATCACAAATAAGTGTTATGCTGCCCGAGTTACCTGTAACTTGCATAAACAAATTATATATATAGAATTTTACGCCCATAATTTCATGAGATTTAACTTAATATCCTATTAATTTGAAGAAGATTTATATTTTTATTCCCCTAGGATTGAGATCACAAGATTTTAAGATTTAAATCTAGATCTTGACAGCCTAGAACCATGCTGGATTGCCAACTACTTCAAAAGACAGCTCTTGAAAAAAAAAAAAAAAAAAATTTTTTGGGGGGGGGGGGTTCTGGTAACAATATTGCTTTTTTCTGTGCATGCAATGTTACAACAAATGACTATTCAGTTTTTTCCCATTTCATTGCTTTTTAGTCTTCAAGAACAAGAAGCTTGATCTGATATCTGACTCATCTACTGGTTCCTCAGCTGGATTTAGCATCACTTTATGTCTCTCGGACTTCAAATATACTGGGGAGATTGTTAATATATGAATGTCAAAGTGACTCTGCTGTATCTAACTGTCAATATGACTGCTATATTACTGATATCAATGACTAAAATAAGCCGTTGTCAGCATGTCTGTTCAATTGTTAAAGAACAGCAATTTTGATTTTAGATACTGAACGCTCAATGTCCAAACTCATACCTTGTGAAGATTTAGTAAAATTTGAAGAATGATGTGTTTATCTCTTTTGATTACATTGCTTTCCAACCAAAAGGCACTGTAAACTGTTGTCATTGGTGCTCTTTTGGAAGATATGTGCTGTTCCCTCATTGGTTTGCCATTGAGTTTAAAAGAACTTGGTAGATAGACTTTGTTAATCTGACAGGACATCTATTACAGTTGGAGATTTAAATTTTGAGGCTTCTTTTACACAATGGACTTCAAAAGCATATGATTGAGGCGAGAGAAATGATTTTTTTTTTCCTTTGGTAAAAAAGAACATATGACTGATCATACAAGAGGGTAAGTCGATGTGGCATCCATGTGGGAAAAAATAGTAGAAAATCGATTAAAATGATTTGATAATGTGCGAAGAAAGGGGGTGCCATTGAGGAGAGGTGGGTAGATAATCTTTAGCCCTGTGAAAAGATGTTGAAAAAGACCAAAAGGACACTTCAAGAAGTCATTAATCAAGATCTTTTAATAAATAATTTACTGAGGTCGTTGTTGTAATAAAGAAACATATGACTGTGAATGCAATGAAAAGCTGCAATATTATTCTAGTCAGATTGGAAGCAACTATATATCTGTGTCTGCTCACTCGAATATGCTTTTATGAGCAGGCTTGGAAGCTGAGAGAAGAAGGCAGGCTTCTGGATATTGTAGATCCCGAACTAACTGCATACGATGAGACGCAGGTGTTGCGTTTCATTAAGGTTGCTCTGTTCTGTACCCAAGCATCCGCACAACACAGGCCCACCATGAAGCAAGTAATAAAAATGCTCACCAAGGATGTGCATTTGAATGAGAAGGCACTGACCGAACCTGGAGTTTATAGATGGAATAGCTCGAAAGAGTATGGCAATTATTCGTTAAATCAGACATCGTCTTCTCAAATAAACAAGTACAGAAGTTCCAAAAATCCCTACATGACATCAAGCCATTATAGTGGTGCTGATTTGGATACACAGATTCTTCCTAGGTAATTGATTGTTTGCTTCATATTGAAGGATGTTGGGTGGGCAACATTGCATGTAGCCTGTAAATATTTTACTTTATTACTCTCCTTTATTTTTTCCTGCTCATAGGATCATTTGTATTAGTACACCAGAGTTCTTTCAATCCGAAGGGGTCGATGAGAGCATGGGAAACGAATAAGGAGTACAATTTCCAGTTGGCCTGTGTACATATACACTTTTTGTATAATACATAATATTCAATTCATTTGCACGCTAATGACCAATGATAGCCTTAATTGACCTGTGTGCAGACAACCGGCAAACCATACCATGCTACGTCAAGCCCATAAATAGGTTTAGCATAATCTGGGTCGCAAATAAACAAGATGATTCCGAGTTTAACTCCTTATCAAGACACTATCCCAATTTCAACCAACGCCAAAACAGCGGCATTAATAATATGCCTGTTTGCAGGCCACAGCAACGGATCACAGCCTAAAACTATTTTCTGACAATGGGCTGCATAAAGCTACATCAAGCAACCTGCAACTTTAAAGTAAAGATACTTTGTACATATAATACCACCATGCGACTAAGTTATGATGTTCACAGAAGCTGGTTTTCACATGGAAAAGGAGAAAATAGCGGCCCTTCAAGCTGCAGCAACCGGCTCCTGAGTTGCCACCGCTGGCGGCTTGGGGGTAGAAGTACTTGTGCTAACCCCGTCAGTGGGCCCGGTATTAGCGTCCTTTTTTGGTTCAGATGATGGAGGTGGCTTAGGCTTCATGTGAAGAGGAGGATTATGCTTGAGCTTTAGCAGTATATGTCGCATTCTTGAAAGGTCAGTTGGCTTCCCAGGTTTCGGCCCCTGGATTACAACAATGGAAGGCTTCTTCTCTTTATCTTTTTCCCTCTTTTCTCTATTGTCGGCACTTCATTGGGAATAAGTTCACCGATTGCTTTCCAATAGTTTTCTCAGCTTCCGCCTGAAACTTCTTGTGGCTTTCCAAAAATAACTGCTAGATTAAATCCAGTACATAATTTCAGGCACTGGTATAACATTCAAAAGAAATATGCTAAGTGACCTCTTATTAGGGGACGGGAAACTTTACAATCATTGACAGCAGCTATGGCTGCACAAGACCGTTCCGTGATACAAAGATGCCATCATAAAACTGAAAATTTAACATGATGAATTTAAAAAGTGTGCATATTTGTGAAGTCTCAATCTTATCCAAGCTGATTATACCAAAACATAATTATTATTAACGAGACCAAAACCTAAAAGTAAGACCATCTTGGATTTATGTTCATATTCTTTTTTTTCTTTTTTTACCAGAAGATTTATGTTCATACTCAAAAATTAAAAATTTAAACGTAACATCCTATTTGCGTTCCTAAATTGAACTTCTTAGTTTCCTGCACACAATCTAGTCTACCAAGAGTTCTACAGCCTAATTTGTAATCTACCATACTCCTTAACCACCTAATTCGCCCCATTCTGGCCAGGAAGCCCCTCTTAACCGCTATGGGACCTTCAACTGCAAAAGCTCCAGCGCAAATAAGGAGGGAAACAAATCTGCCTCTATTACTTTCGTCCTGTTCGTAATTCCGGTTGGAATTCCGTAATGGAATATTGGAATGGACAAAAAGAGCAATTTATCACTATAATTTATAAATAGGGTCTTCTATGTCGTCTTTATAAGACCTCTCCCACGTGAACTCTGAATACTTCTATCTGAAAAGAAGATTCCATTCAATTCCTCGCCCTCTATTATTACAATTTACAAGCTAAGATGGGGTAGAACATGATACAGAAATGTTGCAAGAACTATTATAAATATCAACCTTAACAGCAACAGGGAGGAAAACAGAGAACTTGGTCTTATACATAGAAAACATCACAATTTGATTTACCTTCTCTTTTTCCCTATTGGACGCTTTCTTATTCTCGACATTCAGCTCGCGCTTCCTGTAAAACTCAATTTTGTACGCCTCTGCTTCTTCTATAATCTGTCTCCGCATCTCTTTCTCCTTCTTCTCCTTCTCTTCCAGTTGAATAGCGTTCTGTCTGCTCACTCACACATTCATGATCATCATCAACATATGCAAAAACTTCAGACGCAGACAGGCAGCAATTCAATTAAACCTAACATTCTATAAACTTAAAACCTTGAAGAAAACCGAAAAGCAGAAAACAGCGATTATGGCCAGTAGAGTTTACCTTCGCCATTCCCTTAGAGCAAAGCCTTCTTCTGGTTCCAAATCCACCGGAGGTGGCAAGACCGGACCACCGGTGGCACCATATTCTCCCTCAAGACCCTTCCCATCATGCTCCGGCGAGAACGCAGTGTCTTCCCTCGCGTTAGAGCGTATGGACGACGGGGATGGAGTCTCCGGAACCGGCTGAGACGAAAACACATAATCTCCTTCACTGTATGACTGATGGCTTCCGAAAACCGGAGACGAGTCGCCGGCCGAATCCTTCACTGAGTCAGCATCGAAGTTGGAGAGAGTTTCAAAGCGCTGAGATTGGAGCCGAACATCATAGCCGTCGACGCCAAGGCCGTCGCCGTCGAACGGCCGGTTGGGACTGCCAAAGGATGACATGGAATGGCCAGACTAACGATGCGGACCGTACAAGCAAAATGATTGACTCGCCCTTGGAGAAGAATCTGGTGAGATGGCGTTACAATCCGAGTTTAAGGGTCCACGAGGATCTAGCGGCCAAGTCTGCTAAGGTTCCACACCGATCCCACTCACTTTCCATGATCAATAGACGGCAACCAAGTAAATTATCGTACAATAAGCGACTAATAGAGCGACACGCTATAAATTACTACTGTGAAGCTGAGTGTACCTGATACCACTTTAGTTCCGGAAAGCATGACACGTGTCTTCTTTTTAAAAAGGGGTAAGTTATAACTGTTTTTTGCAAATTAACCTCCCCCCAACTACAATAACCCCAATTCGTAATTAAACTAGACTAGGATTTTTTTTTGTTTGCTAAAGTATAGATGTTCTTCTATTGAAAACAATCTAATTCAAAACACTGTCAAGTACTAGATATGAGTACCTCTTCTAGTGGATATTCGAACATTGGTTCGTCACGTTGTGAGAGACTAGCTCCTTCCGCTAGGCTAAACCCATGTTAGTTACTAGACTAGGATATTAGATGATGCTCACTGGTGTATTAACCTATTGGGCCTGCATGATCGGCCCAGCCCACTAAATAAGTCCTCGTTGGACTGGGTTGCAGCATAAACAAGCAGCCCACATATAAATACCAAGCTGATTTGAGTTTTTGGTTGGGCATATGGGTTTGATCAGCTCATTGTTAATTTATTTTAACATATTTCCCCCCGTAATTTCACCACCTAAGCAAGCTTTATATTTTTTATTGTGTATCACTTGTCACCAATCTTTTTTTTTTCCTTGGTGTTTTCATCATCTGAACACATTTTTAAACATGTCTTTTTTGTTTATTGTGGATTCTATGGTCATACTCCTCCGGTCCTTAATATAAGACTCATTTAACTAATTTGATTAGATTAAGGAAGTTAGGTAGGTTAGTTAATTATAAGAAAAGTGACACATTTTTCCCAAAATACCATAATCATCTTTCTTAATACCCTCTCTCCCTCTTCTACTTGATTATGGGTGAGAGAGTATCTATAAGGGTATTTAGAGAAAATTGATAAATATGGGAAATGAGTCTATATTTAGGACCAAAACCAACTCAAGAATTGGGTCATATTAAGGACCGGAAGAGTACATTGTTTAACACATGTCAAATATAAGTAATGTATTCTTTTGGGCCACCTATAAGTAATGTATTATTATATATATTTTGTGTCCTATGTTAGTTGTATGCTAAATAAATTAATTTAATTATATGATGGTCAGATATGGAATCTGATTTCTTATTGATAACTCTCAATATATAGTGTGTTAGGGCTAAAACTAACCCATAATTTTAAAAGTAATTTCATGATATTTACGAAGTGAGCATATAAAAAAAAATTCACCTCAATTTGTATAAAAATACATTTTTTGGGAGTGAAGCAAACAGCCGCTGCGGAAAAAACATGATCATGTAGACTTTGTTCAAACTGAGACGCAAGTGTGGGTGGGACCTGAATATCCTGTAACATTAAGAAACGGTGCAAGATGTGCCACGTGTACGAAGATCGTTCCCGCTTATTGATGGTACCCTTCTCTCGGAGAGGGGGGCTTCGCGCGTGCCACAGACGGGCACTTTGGTAATTTCATGAAATCCACGTGGTGATTCCCTTATTGCCTATAAATACGGAGCGAGCACGGTCGTTTAAAACTGAACGTCGAGGGAGGGAGCGAGGGAGCAAGGAAAGAAGCCTGGTTAGAGGCAACTGAAAATTGTTTTGATTCTTGCAAATTAGTTTTGATGAGTCGATTGGGGTTCAAATCTGTGTTTTTTCTCGGTGAATTGAGATTGGGAGAGTTGGATGTTATCCCTGTTTCAGACCAGAATTTCCACCTCCCAAACGAGATACGCATCCACCACTTATCGCCGAGGAGTGAGCGATGTCATCCTCTTTCAGTTCTCCAAAAAACTATTTCTGCATTCTCAGTTCGATGCAAGCTCGAGTCATCACTACCTGTTGAACAGCCCGATTTGATCA